GATCAGGAAGTTAATGATGACAGAGACTCATTCACCCCTAATTTAAATTGATATATATCAGAAGTAGATAATAATTCCCTATTATCTACTTCTGATATTTATCAAGAGCTAATACTACCTAATGAATAAAATAAAAAATAGGTATAATTAGCTCTTGATTGTATCCTATTTCTATCGATATTGTCTATATAGATCGATATATTATAGTGTAGGTGGGATTTCTGAATGTCGGAGGTCTGTTATCGTCTGTAATATAACGTGAGTGGGAGCTTAGCGAGCTTGGGGGCTTGTACGTTCTGTACTGAACCCCGTATGTCGTATGCCGTATGCCGTGTGCCGTATTTCCATCGACCCAGTAGCATAGTGCCCACCTGCTACACACACGTGCTAGTCGCCATAAAACCTTATATATATATGCGTCTCTCTCTCTCTCTCTCTCTCTCTCTCTCTCTCTCTCTCTCTCTCTCTCTCTCTATATATATGCGTCTCTCTATATCTCTCTGTCCTCGAATACTAGCGATCGTTCTACACACATACAAAAATAAATCGACCTCGCTAGCAAATATATGAATGTATTCTAACGATCTCTCTCCCGCCCTCCCCCTCCTCATTCTCCTCCTTCTCCTTCGCCTTCTTCTTCTCTTACTCTCTCGCCTCCTTCTTCCACTCGCTCTCTCCATTTCTCTCTCCCCACTCTCCACGTATAAAGCTATTTTAATGCCCCCCCCCCTACAAGGATATTTATCTATAAAAAACACTCCATTGCTAATTTTTTTCCCTCACATTATCGCGAGTTAACCGATCAGCTAACCGCCCGTCATTCTTCCTCCCCTCCCCTCCTCATCACGCTACTGCGGACACGACTCTGTAAGCAGACTTCTTCACGACTATACGGGGCACATATATATCCCCTGTGACCGCCTCTTAGGTGCATTGTCGCTTCTGTGTGTATCGCGTTACGCGGCGCGCGGATAAACGGGGCGCCATTCAGCCGGGCTCTGGTGGCGGCCGCATTATATACCTGTATAATCCAACACTCTTCATTATGCCGGCGCGCCGCCTTCAACCACAGAAATCGCCTAAACACGTCTAAGCGGCGACATTGTGCGTGTTAGCTTGTGCGTATCACCGTCGCCTCTCCGTGCGAGTGTGTGTGCGCGGTGTGCGCAGTGCGTGTGTGCGCGTGTGCGTGTGCGTGTGTGCGCCGGCGCGGTGTGTGTTGTGTGTGTGTGTGTGTGTGTGTGGTGTGCTTGTGGGTGTGTGTTGTGTGTGGTGTGTGTTTGGGTGTGGCCCTCGTGTCTGTGTGTGCGTGTGCGTGTGCGGTGTGCGTGTGCGTGTGCGTGTGCGTGTGTGTGTGTGTGTCTGTGTGCGTGTCTCGCTCTCTACATGTCTACATTTAGCTTTTTCTCTTCTCTTCTCTCTCTCTCTCTCTCTTCTCTCTCTCTCTTCCTTCTCTCACATTATTTGTCGTTCCTTCCCTCCTTCTCTCCACTCCCCTCCCTCCCTCCCCTTCATCTCGCTCCCCACCCTCTCTCTCGCTTCCTTTCTCGCCTTCCTCTCCTCTACTCTCGAGGGTTGGATGGATGACCGACCGGTTTTCAACGCTACTCAGTGGGAAAAAGCCGCTGTGCAAATAGCGACTGAAAGAGCACGTACCGAGCATTCACGCCGCGTCGACAAACTCAACTTGAGAGAGTGGCCGACAATGATCAGGAAGTGGTTTCGAAGAGAAAACTGATAGCTATGCCTATGGTCGCCGAGCAAGTGATATTGCCACGTCTCTCCGTCTCGCCAAATATTTTGTGCTGCGACTGTATTTCGATATATTTGTATGCTTCGATATATATTTATATATCATGAATATTACTATAGATTTAGTATTATATATATATATTATATATACTCATAGACTATATATATCGAAGCTGCTGTCGTTGTGTCTACTGGCAACGATTAATAACGGAATTTCTTATTTATTAATTATTAATTAATCAATTTGCCAACTTTATACAAAGTAAACAATGTTCGCGTCGTGAATAACAAGGTGGTTCAGCTGCTTACACGCAGGATCGGTTATCACGTAAGTAACGGGCAAGACAGGGTCCCGATGGTGAGACAAGCTGATTCAGGGTGATCTGCAGGGAACACAGCACCCGCGCTTCCCATACAACAGCAGAAAGACGGCAAAACACAGAGACCCGTTGTCAGAAATATCATAAATAGTGTTTAATATCGTCTATTATAATATTATATTATATAATATTATAATATTAACTATTCTCTATTATAAAAATAATAGAGTCTAAAATGTCACAACCCTTGCACGACGCTCCACTTCAAAGGTTATGAAGTTTTAGGCTTATAATGTCATAATTACTTATTGTTTTTGTAACAACGGACCCTAGTTGGTCTGCAGGTGAGTAACACACAGCAGGCAGGTAAAAGAAACCATAGACACGACAATTTTGTATAAAGCCTCCGGTTAGAATTCTCGCTATCATTACTGTCTACATAGTTGAGATAGTATCTTTGTCAAATGCTAGCTGGCACACATAAAAGCAAGACTGGATTCGAGAAAGGAATATGGTCTCATGGCAACACTGATAGCACGCTATACGCGCACGAATATATTCCTTTACGAATACTTTTTCTCCGGACGTCTTTTTTACCGATTAGGTATATTACACGTAAGACACTAGCTAACGTTGATACACCTGAAGGCGAGAAAGGCTTCTATGTAGAATGACAGGAACACGTGGAATAAGACTGGGAAATAAAAATGAAGGCTTCCTCGCCAGGACGACAGTGTGCGCTATTATACACGTTATATTGTTGACTGTAGTAGATGTATGCGACAAACGCATGTGCCTGAATATAACTGTGACAACGATATGATTAATGTAGTTTTGCGACAGTTTACGGGCAGGAATTGCCCATTGTTGTCCAGACTGTCGCTGAATTAATGAGAGAGGAAAGCGTCTGTCCGCGTGCAGTATTATGGGATGTCTTTGCAAACAGTAAACCCCCATACATCATTAACGGAAGGGGATTCTGCGAGTGGCGGCGTGTTTTTAGTACGCCGCACAAGCCATACTAACGAACGAAACGCTTGCGAATCAAGAGTTGGTTCGTTACTAAGGGACTCGTCATGATAGATGAGATGTATTATCTTATTAAAACTGCCATTTTGTTATACTGACATTTTTTACTATAGTTACTGTATATGCTATAGTATCAATCTTCTTCTTGAATGGAGGACAGATGGTAATGTGAATGAGAATTAAATTGTGTATGCTGCGAACCTAGAATTCTTTGTGGGATTTACTGACAAGAGTTTAGAACAAAAATTTTACGGGCAAACCGACATCGATCACTCCACCGTACGGTTGCTGGATGTTTTTACTCCGATGCTACGACGCTGCCATAGAATATTGCCCGAGCAAGATTCAATTAGAAAAGAAGGAAATTAGATGTGTGGGTGCGCGTGCGTGCGCGCATGAGTGTGTGTGCTGTACGTGCTTGCATGCAGCTTTATACATTCTATACGCGCGATCACCGTATAAATAGACCAGCATCGCGGAGGTGATGCGATGAAATGAGTGTCTTTGAACGTCAGAATGGTGTCAGCGAGCGTTGCCTGGCTTCTATTGCCTCGCTTCTATGCGGAATATGAATAGTAGTGCGGGACACGGGCGTGCGTCCCGGAAGATGGGAAAATACACTCGCACTCCAGTACAGTTTCCTCCCCAAACACACAATGGTTCGCCATGATTATGTATATACATGCGCGCGCGCTCATATGTCCACACCCGCGCGCACACACACGCACGCGAACACACGCACATACTCATGCACGTACGCACGTACACAGGCATGCACACGCGCACGCACAGGAACGCATGCACGCACGCGACCCCACGCACACACGCACGCACGTACGCACGCACGCACGCACGCACGCACACGCACACAGAGCTCACAGTTAATAAGCTCAGCTCTCTGGCATCGGCGCACATACATGATCCCCTCTAACGCGTGTATCTACACCATTCGCCTCACACGGCCGGCAAACCAACGGAAAAACCGAGGCAGGCAGGCTGGCACACGCGGGCGGCGGCTGTAATTAAGTCAAACAGCGGCTGATGGAACACAAATAGGCGCGTGTGTTTAACGAACGACTGCGGCGACAATG